GGAGGTGGGGGCGGGTGGAGGGCACGCTGGTGTGGGGATGTGGGCACCCCAGTTTACGAAGCCTTCCCCCACCGTCTCACCCCGGGAGACTTGGGGCAGGTGGCCTGCCGTCGGGCCGTTTTCAGGATGAAAAAAGCTGGTCACAACTAGAAGAAATGAGGGGAGATCATGTGAATTGCTGGGTGTGTGTAGGAACCCCACGGATGTGCTTGGTCCAGTTTCAGAAGTGTCCCTAGGAAGCACTGTGGGTTCTGTCCACCTACGCCAGGGCTTGGGCTCCCTGGAGACCCTCCATGAGGTCAAGATGGGAGATGTGATGATGCGTTCTGAGCACCTGCCATGCACCATGCACCAGCACCAACACGTGCACCGCTGTAGCACTTGTTGGCTTCTGAAATTCCCATTGTAACCCCACGCATGCACTCATTGTGTCCCATTCTGTAGAGGAGGAAACGGAGGCAGAGGACGGATAAGGAATATCCTCTGGGTCGCACAGTGTGTGATAGCTGAGCTGGGTGTTGAGCCCACCCACCTGAGTGCTTTGCCTGCTGTGTTTCTTTTTGGCCTCCCCCCATCACCCAAGAGGCCAGTGATGTATGATTCTCCTCCATGTTAGGGATGCAGCCCAGAGAGGGTGAGTCAGTTTCTAGGTCACAGAGCGGCAGGCAGCAGAGGCAGGACTTGACCCAGGCAGCCTTGGCCCCACTCATAGACTGCTTCCTTCAGAGGGGCAGGGCCTTCTAGAAGGAGTGTTTCTAAGAGCAGGGAAGGCTTCCCAGAGAGCTGGAGCACTGTGTGGGGAGTGTGTGTGGGTTCCCTGCAGACGCAGCCTCCGTGGGAAGCGGCCTTCCTTCTATCCAGGCGGGACCTGCCATGGCTCCCTGCCCCACCTCCAATCCTTGCACACTCTGAGGTCATCCCGTGGGCTCAGAAGTGTTTTGGTGTCTTAGGGCCCAGCGAGGCCGCCCCGGTGTATATGCAAAGCATCTGTTCGGTGCCCAGCCTGGGCGGCGTGACTTGCCTGTCACCTAGGAGCAGGCACCCGTGCTCAGGCCCTCTGCCGGCACTGCACGCCTCTGCCCCATGGCTTTGGCGCTGAATGGCTCTCACCTACAGGGAGGCCAGGAGCCTGGGGTTAACCACACCCTGCTGCCCTCTAGTCAGGGACAGGCAGGGTTAGCAAGTGGATGCCCCAGGCCCCCCTCCTGGGCATGCTCTGCACCGGCCCTTGGGAGCCTCCAGGGGCCTGAGACACAGTTGCCCTCAGTGGTGACCTGCTCACTCTCATGCCCCTTGGGGCCACTTCCTATCCCTGTTCCCTGCCCCTCTGCCCCACAGGTGCTTCCTGGAACCACCTCCCCAGCGCATGCTTGCACCCCTGTTCTTGCCTCGGCATCTGCCGCCTCTGGGAGCAGCCCAAGGCGACACCGTGGCCGACCTGCTGAGACGCCTGGGCCCATGCCCCTACGTGTTCTCCTGTGTGGCCATCCGTAGAGTGAGTCGCCGCTGATGCCATGTAGACTTTTGAATCGAGACGCGCTCCTCTTGACAGTGCAGTTTCCTTGTGTATTCGGGGCTAATACATGTATTCTGTAAGCCTCCACTGATTTTGAAATGGTGCCTTCTGTGCCCAGGGAAGGTCTGCTCTCAGCCACTCTGGCGGCTTCATGGGCCCCTTCAGTGGTCCCTTGCTGAGGACTCGCCGGGCTCCACCTGTGAGCCGGGCTGGCTGCCGGCGATGCGGGGCCCACTGAGGGGTGCAGGGGACGTCCAGGCAGCGGACTGTGGGCGAGCAGGGTTGGATTCAGTCCTCACGTCCCATCTTGCAGGACGGCTCCATTACACAGATGGAACAGGTAAGGCATGGGCTGGGCTGTGGGACTCCGGAGCCCACTGTGGACATCCACAACCCAGCTTCCTCCTTCCTAGCGGGGGGAACGCTCACAGCACAGCGTGTGGGCTGTTGTGAGGGACAGAGCAGCTGATGCTTCACCACTCGCCCAGCCCGTTTGTGACTGAGGCCCACTCTGTCGCGGGCCTGGGGTGGGGGACGTGGTGTGGGCAGGCCACTGGCCTCCTGGGGCTGGCACAGTAGTGGGTGGGGGGACAGAAACAACCCTGTGCGGGGGGGGGCAGGGGGAGAAAGGGGAGGGCGGAATGTGCGGGGGAGTGGGGGTTCTGGCCTCTCTGGAGGTGGCATGTTTGGTTCTAGGCAGGGAGCGAAATGGGGGAGGGCCCTGCAGATATCTGGTCAAAGCATCTTCTAGGCAAAGGGGGCAGCAGGTGCAAAGGCCCCGTGGTGGCGGCTGCCTGATATGTTCACTGGAGGCCTCAGTTGTACATTATCTGTAGGTTTACAGGAGGAAATCAACCCATTAATGACATGACACAACACAGTATATTTGTGCTGTTTGCTATATAGCAACATGGTTTTTAAAAATTTTATCTAAGTCAGAGTCTCTGTCACTTAGGCTGGAGTGCAGTGGCACAATGATGGCTCACTGCAGCCTCGATCTCCTGGGCTCAGGTGATACTCCTGCCTCAGCCTCCTGAGTGGCTAGGCCCGTAGGTGCATGCCACCACCCTAGCTAATTAAAAAAAAATTTTTTTTGTGGAGACAGGGTTCTGCTATGTTGCCTGGACTGGCCTCGATCTCCTGGGCTCAAGCAAGCCTCCTGCTTTGGCCTCCCAAAGTGCTGGGATTACAGGCATGAACCACTGCACCCGGCCTCTAATGCCATGAATTCCACTCACACCTAAAGTTTGTAATGCACTGTAGAGGGAAAAGGAATCAGTTCGAAGTTGCCAAAGGATTGTCACATCCTCTCGGGATGTGTCTATAGCTGAATGTGTCACTTTCTTTGGAGATGATGTCTCGAATCTGAGATTCGGGCCCTCAGGGAAGTCCGAGTTGGCTCTGAACCATGGCTCTGTTTTCGGCTCCTGGCATAGACTGGTGATGGAGTGCTCCGGGGGAGGCAAGGAGTGGGTTTTAATCTCAGCCTGGGCAGTGGTGGGTGCTCTGGGCTGGGGCAGGCTCGTGTTCTGCCCCAGGCTGTGGGAGCACCCGGGAGCTTGTGGGCTTCCTGAGTCAGAGGGAGAAGGAGGGGCGGGTGGCTTGGAAGTGCCAGTACAGAAGCCTGGCCCCTGCTCCGACCTCACCCGAGTCCCCTGCCTTACCCCACACAGGGACCAGGGACACATGCTTGAGGAGGAAGACAGGGCGCCTCAGTGCCAGGGGGTAGTGGTGACTGGGGTGGGCAAGGAGAGCCTGGTACATTTAGTTCCCCTCCCTCCCAAAAAGCAAAAAATATAGCTGTGTTAAGAGATGACATAAGCTGGGCATGGTGGCTCATGCCTGTCATCCTAGCACTTAGGCAGACTGAGGCAGGAGGATTACTTGAGCCCAGGAGTTCAAGACCAACCTGGGCAACATAACATAGCAAGACCCTCGTCTCTACAAAAAAAGAAGAATTTAAAAAAAACATCAAAAATTAGCCAGTCATGGTGGCATGTGCCTGTAGTCTCAGCTACTCATGAGGCTGAGGCAGGGGGATTGCCTGAGCCCAGGAGGTCAAGGCTGAAGTGCGCCTGATCGTGTCGCTGCACTCCAGCCTAGGTGATGGAGTGAGACCCTGACTCAAAAGAAAAAAAGAAGCCGGGCTCGGTGGCTCAGCCTGTAATCCCAGCACTTTGGGAGGCTGAGGCAGGGGGATTGCCTGAGCCCAGGAGGTCAAGGCTGAAGTGCGCCTGATCGTGTCGCTGCACTCCAGCCTAGGTGATGGAGTGAGACCCTGACTCAAAAGAAAAAAAGAAGCCGGGCTCGGTGGCTCAGCCTGTAATCCCAGCACTTTGGGAGGCTGAGGCAGGGGGATTGCCTGAGCCCAGGAGGTCAAGGCTGAAGTGCGCCTGATCGTGTCGCTGCACTCCAGCCTAGGTGATGGAGTGAGACCCTGACTCAAAAGAAAAAAAGAAGCCGGGCTCGGTGGCTCAGCCTGTAATCCCAGCACTTTGGGAGGCTGAGGCAGGGGGATTGCCTGAGCCCAGGAGGTCAAGGCTGAAGTGCGCCTGATCGTGTCGCTGCACTCCAGCCTAGGTGATGGAGTGAGACCCTGACTCAAAAGAAAAAAAGAAGCCGGGCTCGGTGGCTCAGCCTGTAATCCCAGCACTTTGGGAGGCTGAGGCAGGGGGATTGCCTGAGCCCAGGAGGTCAAGGCTGAAGTGCGCCTGATCGTGTCGCTGCACTCCAGCCTAGGTGATGGAGTGAGACCCTGACTCAAAAGAAAAAAAGAAGCCGGGCTCGGTGGCTCAGCCTGTAATCCCAGCACTTTGGGAGGCTGAGGCAGGGGGATTGCCTGAGCCCAGGAGGTCAAGGCTGAAGTGCGCCTGATCGTGTCGCTGCACTCCAGCCTAGGTGATGGAGTGAGACCCTGACTCAAAAGAAAAAAAGAAGCCGGGCTCGGTGGCTCAGCCTGTAATCCCAGCACTTTGGGAGGCTGAGGCAGGGGGATTGCCTGAGCCCAGGAGGTCAAGGCTGAAGTGCGCCTGATCGTGTCGCTGCACTCCAGCCTAGGTGATGGAGTGAGACCCTGACTCAAAAGAAAAAAAGAAGCCGGGCTCGGTGGCTCAGCCTGTAATCCCAGCACTTTGGGAGGCTGAGGCAGGGGGATTGCCTGAGCCCAGGAGGTCAAGGCTGAAGTGCGCCTGATCGTGTCGCTGCACTCCAGCCTAGGTGATGGAGTGAGACCCTGACTCAAAAGAAAAAAAGAAGCCGGGCTCGGTGGCTCAGCCTGTAATCCCAGCACTTTGGGAGGCTGAGGCAGGGGGATTGCCTGAGCCCAGGAGGTCAAGGCTGAAGTGCGCCTGATCGTGTCGCTGCACTCCAGCCTAGGTGATGGAGTGAGACCCTGACTCAAAAGAAAAAAAGAAGCCGGGCTCGGTGGCTCAGCCTGTAATCCCAGCACTTTGGGAGGCTGAGGCAGGGGGATTGCCTGAGCCTAGGAGCTCAAGGATACGATGAGCTGTGGTCGTGCCACTGCACTCCAGCCTGGGCAACAGAGTGAGACTCCAACTCAAAAAAAAAAAGGAAAAAAAAAGAAAAAAAGACTTTTGATTAAAAAATAGCATGTTCATGGTAGAAATGTGGAAAAGAAAAAGAAATGAACAAACAAGAAAAGTGAAATCCCTCATAATTCCACTCTGTTAGGCTTAGGTGAACTGGCTTGTGATAAAATCCTAATAGTGCCTGAAATGAGGTGGAAGTTCATTTCCTCCTTAGGCAGTTATAGGCAACCTAGGGCAGGTATGCTGGCTCCACCGTCAGTAGGAATGTCAGTGTCTACTGTATTGCAGCTCTATCTTCAGCTCGTGGCTTCCACCTCGTGGTACAAGGTGGCTGCTTGACCTCCAGGTATCACATTTGTGATCCGGTCAGTAGGAAGGAAGATAGCAGAAGAGAATCCCTGCCCATCTCTTCCCCTACCCCAAAAAATAGTTCCACAATGTTGTACGTAATATATCCACTCTGCCGTACCATCCTGACCTTGGTCACGTGGACACCCCTAGCTGCAAGGGAAGCTGGGAAATAACAGCTTTAGTCTCACATCTGGAGTTTTCTTTCTAAAGGAAAAGGAGAGAACTGATATTGGAGGCAGCTGGTAATCTTGACCATATTCCTACATGGCCCAGGCTATCTCCTTCCTTCCTTCTTTTTTCCTATGCTTATGTAGAGATTCTTTATTTAACCAATAATAGATTATGCTTTATGTACTGCACTGTAACTTGGCTTTTTTCCTAGTTAAGGACACATCAGTAGCCTTTTATTTTTTTGCCATTAAATGGACTTCTGCAAACCAATTTTAGCGTGATTGTCCCTTGCTCAGATGGACGATAATGTAACTGGAACCCTAGGGATGGAGTTATCCATCAGATACTGAAGTTGAACCTCCTTTCCTCTTGTGAGATTTAGTTTTTCCCACAGGATAAATGCCCGGAACTTGGACAGATGGAGCATAGCATTTGGGCATTTGAAGGTGTCATTGGGCAGCTGGGGGTCTCCCTAAACTCTGGGCTCTGTGAACTGCCTGGAGTAGGTGGTGGCCAGTCCCTGTCTGCTGCTGTGATGGCTGTTTTATTATTACCTGGATCCCAAGGCCCTTCCCTGATACGTTGCTTCCTACCCCTGGCCACCCAGATGGTGTTGGGGTCCTCAGGGCACCCCTTTCTTTGTCTTGCTGTGGTCTGAGGATGCCCCCGCTCCCTCCCCCCTCACTCCCAGCCTGTCCCCTGGCCCTCTCAGGTTTCACCATATGTCTGGTGAGGTCGCCCCAGCCAAGGTGGGGGCTCCTTGGAGGCCACCGGGCCCCCGCCCCCAGCAGATCAGGTTGCCAGCGTCAGGCTCAGGGAGTGACTTGGAGACCTCTTTCTGTCCATTTTGTCCCCAGGGAGAGATTTATCCTCCCAAGGTTGCGGACACAAGTGGTGGCACAGATGGCGGCTCCCTGGGGCCACCCCGAGGGCAGTTGCCTCCTCCTGGAATGGCTGGTGGGGTTTATTGTCCACCATCGCCCACTGGGGATGTGTGTTGGGGACGCGGCAGTAGGCCACACTTGCCTGGGTTCAAGGCCCAGCTCTGCCGCGTCCCGGCTGAGTGCCTTTAGCGCTTTACTCTGCCAGGTCTCAGTCCCCTCCTCTGTGGAATGGGCACGATCATGACAGTGCCAGCCTGCTCGAGTTTGAGGATCAGCAAGCTTAGAGCAACACCTGCATGTGACACTGCCTGGGGGCATCATTTGGCAGGACCATGAATGGAAAAGGCGTCTCGTTCCAGTAGCTTCTCTAGCTCTGTCCAGCCTGCTGCTGGACCTCTTCTGGGCCCCTGTTCTCAGTTTCTCCTTTCCTCTCCTGCTTTTCCTCCACAGGCGGGTCTCTCCTGAGCGCCTACTATGTGCCAGACACTGTTCCAGGCACGGAGTGGGTGCCCATGGACTCAGCTGCCCCCCAAGGGAGCTGATTCTGTGACGGGGCCGGCACTGAGCCATCCAGTACATCCAGTGAGAGCCTCCCTGAAGGGGAGCAGGTTCAGATGGACATGGAGCAGGGGAAGGCCCCCTTCAAGTGAATCCACGGCGTGGCCCGTGTGAGAGAACAGCACATGCAAGGACCCGGTGGCAGGAGCGGGCTTGGTGTGTTCAAGGGACAGTGTGGCTAGGCTGAGCCAGCGTAGGGGGCCTTCAGGCGGGGTCTTTTAGCCGTGAAAGGGGTTGGAGTTTTCCTTGGCTTCGGTAAGAGCCTCTTCTGAGGCCAGGGCTTCTTGTCTGGGGCACTGTTCGTGTTGGGGCCAGACACGTCTTTGTGGGGCTGTCCTGGGCATTGTAGGCTCTACCCACAAGATGCCAGTGGCACCAGCTGTGACACACACAAATGCTTCCAGACATTTCCAGAAGTCTCCTGGGGGACAGAGCCCCCCCCCCAGGTTGAGAACCACTGGGCCCAGGCAAGGTGGGGCAGGGGCCAGAATGGCCTGGCACCAGGGCCCCTGGTTCTAAGCTGCATCTTGTCACCAACTTGCTGTTTGACCTCAGACCAGCATCTCATGCTGTGGGTTCTTCAGTCAAATGGGGGCTGGTTGGGGTGGCAGACCCACAATCCCAGTGCCCCTCTCCCTCCCACATCGGTGGCAGACATCGCTAATCAATCACAGCTTGCCTCCCTGCTCAGCCCAGAACTCTGGGGACCACTGAGGCACTCGAGTCAGGAGCCCAGTGAGCAGCCTCTCGGGTCCCCCTCTCTCAACAGCAAGCTGGAGTCTGGCACTCCTGGGTTCAATTTCTGCTCTGGTGGTTGCCTCTGAGACTCAGTGACTCAGTTTTCCTATCTGTAGAACAGGACTAGAATACCTCCCCTGGAAGCTGATGGTGGGATGGAAATGGACTTAGGATGGGGCTTTGCGGTGTCAACAAATGTTTGTGGCATGCACAATTGAGAGCGTGCTGCGTCTTGCTCTGGGGTGTGACATGGTGGGAACGCTTGCCCACTGCTGCTTGGAGTGTAGCCACGATCAGTCACCTTAGGGAGGCATTTGGCATCACCTCGTCAAGTGGAGCATGCTCCTAATCTGTAATCAAGCATTCCACACCTGGAGGACTCCTGCGTGTGCGGGGGACTTGCTCCTCTCATACCCGGAGACCCGAGGGTCCACGTAGAGCATCGTGCACACCTGAGCTCCAGGCGGCCCACGTGTCACCTAGAGGAACTTGCGCACCTGCGCCCTGGTGGATGCAGGTGGACACCTGCAAGAGCTGGCACTGAGCCCTGTGGCTCTATCGCAGTAGCATGGCTTACTGTAAGGACGTTTGCTACAACGACAGTGTCTGCAGCATGATAGTGGTTGCCTCACACGATGATTTTGCCTACTAAGCAACGAGATAAACAACCTGGGGTCTGCCTTAGTGTGGACTTCCCAGGCAGCACATCCTGAGACTGCTTCAAGGGCACAACATGGACGTGGGGGGTCACCCCAGGAAGCACCAACGCTAGGGGGCCTAGTGATTGAGGCAGGGTGGAGAAGGCAGCTGAGAAAGGTGGTCATCAAGGAGGGTGCCATGTGGGCTGCCAGGGCTTACTCCCACTGGGGCCCTCAGGGAAACGGCATCGTTTGAGTGCCTCAGTTTCCTGGTCTGTCTCTGCTTGCAGCTCCTACCAGTCATCCCCAAGGGCCGCCCCCCCGGTGGCCTCACTTCTCCAGGCCTTCCGGCCTGCCCTGCACATGAGAGGGGCTCTCTGGCTGAGAGACGTGGGCCCTGGAGCTGGCAGCAGTGTGGGGCGATGCTGGGGTCCGGAGGGCAGTGTCGCCTGGTGTGCCTGTTGACCTGGACACCTGTAGAAGGTGAAATGGTGAGTGAGGAAGGCAGGGTGCTGATGGCTCGTCACTTACAGATGTGCTGTGAACACAGAATGGAGTTCTCTGTTGCTTATTGATGTGCAGGGGTGTGGTGAGAGGGTATAGGCAGGCATGGGGAGTCGGGTGGGCACCCTGCCAGGGGGAAAGGTGGCCAGGTACTCACCTCTCTCTAACAATTCCTTTCTGCCTTCGTTTTTTGTTTTGGGGTCTCTGTCGTCCAGGCTGGAGTGCAGTGGCACCAACACAGGTCACTGCAGCCTCGACCTCCTGGTCTCAGGTGATCCGTCTGCCTCAGACTCCTGAGTAGCTGGGACGACAGGCGTGCACCACCATGCCTAGGTAATTTTTAATTTTTTTTGTAGAGACGAGGTCTCGCTGTGTTGCACAGGCTGGACTTGAACTCCCAGGCTTAAGGGATCTTTTCTGCCTCATCCTCCCAAAGTGCTGGGGTTACAGGCATGAGCCACCAGGCTCAACCTCTGCCTCCTTTTTCTACGTGGAGATGTGTTATGTGCACAGCCACGGGGATAACTGGAGCAGATCTCAAGTGCACACTGACAAGGCTTTGCATACACAGTGTCCTGTGTCTCCACAACTCAGATCAAGATATAGAATGCTCCACACCCCCAGGCCCCCCCTGGCCCCTTCCAGGCTGTACCTCCCCCGGACTTGTTGAATTACTTTTTGCAAGTGACTTCGAGTGAATTTGACGGACCGTGAAGACGTGCCAGAGCCGGGTAGTGATGCGTTTGGGGGTGTGTGCTGTGCTTTTCTCTTTTCTTCTGCATCTTGACATGTTTCATCGCCATCATCACAGAGAGAAGAGGAGGACTTGGGCGGGTGTGAGGGCAGGAGTGAGGGCGGCATCCGGGCCTGGACAGAGACCCACCGGGAGGGGTTTCTCAGACCCTGCGGCCCCCCAGGAGGGCTCGTGTTAGGGGGGTTTCCAAGAGGAGCGCTGCTCTGGGTCCGAGCATTCCGCCCTGTCAGGCCACAGACAGAGTTGCCCCAGAGGGTCCTGGGGACCATCCCTGCCCGTGCAGAGGCCGTCGGGGCTGCTTCGAAAAGCCGCCATGCTTGGGCAGCACGCAGGCCGGCCCGAGGCTCCTGCCTGCCCGTTCTTTCTGGGTCACGAGTCGCTGATTGTGCCTGCCATGCTGGCTTGTTTGCAGTTCCTCCGTGGGTGGCCCGAGCCGCCCATTGTGGCAGCACAATGGTGGTGGCCGAGCTTGTGTGAAGAAACCGGGACAGGAAGCCCAATCTAGGCCAGCCGAGCTCACTCCCGGCTTCCTGCCCTCCCTGGCTGCGCCGGGCGGGGGCCTTTGTCCCCGTGCGGTCTGGGAGGTGGGAGGCCTGACTTCCCGTGGCCATCCTCGGCCATGGGAAAACGTCTTCTGGGGCCACTGTCCCCATCCCCTCCACCCACCGTCCTTCCGGAAGCAGGACCAGCAGCCCCCTAAGGGCATCGAGGCTCTGCCCTGGGCCGGGCGCAGCCCTGCCTTCTTGTGGTTTTCGAGTACCTGCTGTGTGCCAGGCACGGCTTGGGCCCTGAGGATACAGAGTGAACAAGAGAGCCCAGGCCCCTGCCTTCAGGAAGCTTCCAGTCGCTTTATCCTGTTGCATCCTGAGGGGCAGGTGCAGTACTTCTGTGATCCCCATATTTGAGAAGAGTTAACTAAGACTCAGAGAGGCTATGCACTCTCCTGAGGTCACACAGCAGGAAGGAGAAAGATCTGTGGTTTCAACCCAAACTCCCTGGTGTCCAAACCTGACCTCTGTTGTTGGATTGGGAGTTAGGGTTTCATCCCAGCCATGCTCCCTTCTTCTCTTGACCCTTCCCTGAGGCGCTAGTGTAGATTGCGTAATCTCAGCTTTCTCATCTTTCAAATGGGCTCATAATGCAGGACGGGAGGGTAGAAAGTGCATGAAGGCAAGGAGGGCCTCTTGGAGGAGAGGACATCTGAGCTGAGACCTGAGGGATGAGAAGGAGCCTGCCCAGGGTAGAATGGTAGAATGGGGGGGGAAACATCCTGCTAGCAGGAAGAGCTTGTGCAAAGGTCCTGAGGCGGGATTGTGTTTGGCAGGTGGACAGAATCTAGAAAGAGGGTGTGGCTGCAGATAACGAGGTGTGGGGGGATGGTGTGCTGGAAGCTGAGGTCAGAGAGTTTAGCAAGGACAGGGTCATGGGGGCCTTATGGGCCACGGAAGGATTTGGATTTCAAGGGCAGTGGGAAACCATGCAGAGTTTAAAGCTGTGGGTTGATGAACCTGAGACACATGTTTAAAAGGGTCTCTCTGGCTATGTGTGTGGAGAGGAGACCTCTCGGAGGGTGAAGGGGACTGGGGGGGAGGGACTATGTGAGTCCATATGGGAGATGATGATGGCTTGGCCTGGGAAGAGGGGGAGGAAATGTTTTTTGGGTGAAGCTGATGGCATTTGCTGGTAGATTGGAAATGGAGGAGAGAGTCGGAGGACAGTGGGGGGTTTTAGAGGGCAGAGGTGCCAGTAATCGGGGGTGGGGGGTGGGCTCCGGAGGTGTGGGAAGGTCAAGGGTCAGAGGTTGGGTGAATGAAGTCTGGGGACCCCTTGCACTCCCATGGGAGGTGTGGAGGCTGCAACTGGAGAGGGAGTCAGGCTTCAGGGGAGCCGCCCAGGCGGGGGGTGTAAGCTCAGGGGTCATCAACAAAGAGATGACTGAGATTGTCCTGCGCTCTGTGTAGACAGACTCGAAGCTGCCTTCCTGTGTGTCCTGTCTCCCTCCCTGCTGTCTGCTGTGCGGCCTGCCATTGCACCCCCTCCCAAGAGGCTTACCTCTGGGCAGGTGGCCGAGCTCCTGGTGGCGTCATGGACATCTCTCCCGCTGACAGGAGAGTACCTGACAGCCTTCTCTCTGCCTGCCTGCATCTGGCCAGATCCCAGCGCTGTCCCTGCTGTAATCTCCCGAGACAGCCATGGTCGGATGGGACTCGCTGTTGGTGAGCCTGCACCAGGCTTGTGACAGAGAGGCCATGGGCTCCCTGGGGCGGCCCCCCGTGACCTGGGCTGTAATGTGACTTGGGAGGGCAGGCGATGGGCCAGCCCCCCACTCGTCATGACCCTGCAGCTGAGGCGGGATCGTCATGTGGCTGTCGCCAGGCCCACCTGTGGTCCTGCCCCATGTCCTGGAGGTGGGGCAAGCCAGGAAGAAGTTGCTGGAAGGTTGGCCTCAGTTTCCCTAGGGTGCTGACGCCGATCTCTTTCCCTTCCCACACACTATCCTGCCCCCTTGGCCGCCCGTGTGACCCCTCGGCTACCCTGCCTTCTGTACTCTGTCTCACCCCTACCACCCAGGCCCGGGCAACCATCTCCTGTCCATACTGCTGCACCCTTCCGCTCCAGTCTCCCCACCTTTTCGTTCACCCCGTAAGGCCCAGCTCCATGCAGTAATGGAGGGCTCCTTCACCGACACGTGAACATGGGGAGATTTTCCTTCAAAAGAATCCTAGTTTCTGGCTTCACTCAAAAAAAAAAAATTAAGAACCTCTGGTGATCCTGGCCTCTCGTGGCTCCCAGAGGCCCTGCCACGCCCCTCGTCACAGGCGAGCCATGGTTTGTCTGAAAAGAGTAACAGGAGCAAGGACTGTGGTCCCTTGATGCAGCAGGGTTCTAGGCATCTGTCAGGAAGCACAAGGATGCTCCCTGAGTGATGATCTGGAAAGATCTTTGAGCTATCAGAGTGGGAAAAGCAGGTGCAGGGCATCCTGTGTACGTTGCTGTTATCTGGTGTATAAAAAGAGGAAAAATAGGAATAGATGTACATATGTGTATCATATGTGTATATGTACATTTGTGTTTGTGTTTGATTTTGCATTTGTGTTTGTGTTTGATATTGCATTGATTCTTTGGAAGGATGTCCAAGAAACTAGGAGCTGGCTTTCCTTTGGGGGGTGGGGAGGGACTAGATTGTTGGGGGTTGGGGTGGACAGAGTTTTTTGTGTTTTTGACATTTTATATTTTTTGGTGGGGGGACAGGGTCTCACTCTGCTGTCATTTAGGCTAGAGTGCAGTGGCCTGATCATAGTTCACTGCAGCCTTGAACTCCTGGGTTTAGGCTGTCCTTCTGCTTCAACCTTCTGAGTGGCTGGGATTACAGGAATGCGCCACCATGCTCAGCTACTTTTTTGATTTTTTTGTAGAGGCTGGTTTCGAACTCCTGGCCTCATGCGATCCTCTCACCTTGGCCTCCCAAAGAGTTGGGATTACAGGCATGAGTCATCGTGCCTGGCCTATTGTTGACTTTAGAGTCATGTTAGTGCATTATTATTCAGAAGTTAAATAGTTAAAAAAAACAAATCCCGGCGTGGTAGCGCTGCCTGTAGTTCCAGTTACTCGGGAAAGCTGAGGCAGAAGGATCACCGGAGCCCAGCAGGTCGAGGCTGCGGTGGCTGGGAGCGGCCACTGCACTCCAGTCTGGGCGACAGAGTGAGACTCCAACTCAAAAAAAAAAAAAAAAAAAAAGAGGAAATGAATGGTGGTCTGAGAGGCCCCCGTGGTGGAGAAGCAGGCGTGGGTGTGTGTCTTTGGGCTGAGGTTCCTTGAGGGCAGGGGCTTTGCGTTAGCTTTCACTGTGTCTTCAGGGCCTGGTGCGTAGATGCTCGGTAAACCTTCAGCGACTGACTGGGAGTGAGGGATGTCGCAGTGTGTTCGGTGTATAAACAGCAGTTCTTCTTTGTTCTCTGTCTGTGTGCCTGGACCGTAATCCCTCCAGGTTCTGGTTGGCATTTGAATCCTGACCCTTCTGTAGGGCTCTCCTGGGAGAACGGGCAGTATGGACACTCACTTCTCTCTGCTTCCCCCTCCCCAGGCGTTCCTGCACCGAATCCGGCAGAACGTGGCGGACTCCGTGGAGAAGGGCCTCACGGAGGAGAATGTCAAGGTGTGGATGCCCCGGCTGACCCCTTCTGGAATGTCCTGCTGCTTTGTGCCTGGCTCCTCCCAGGCGGTGATCAGAGGGTGTGCAGGACGAGGTGCATGTCTCACTGACCACTGGCTCTGCCTCCCCAGCTGACTCCCTGCAGCCCAAGGGGCCTCTCAACCCTGAGTGGCTATGCTTGGTGGACGTCAGGAGGAGGCAGCCCCGTGCCTGGCTGCCTAGATCAAGATTTTCTCTCCTGCTCTGTGTGGCCAACCTGTCTTCCAGCCTCCTCCTTTCAGCCCTCCTGGCTTGGAGCCAGTGGAAAATCCCTTCCCAAGTGCCCCCGGGAGCCTGGCACTCTGGCTGCCCCGCTGGCAGCCCCATCCCTCCCCCCGCACTGGGCATCCAGTGTCCAGGCAGGGCTGATGAGTAATTGGGTCCAGCTTCTCTTGGCCGAGGCTCTGGGAGAGTTTCAATGGGCCTTCTGTGCGCACGGCTCAGCCCCAGCCTGGCTCCCTAGCCTGGCTCTCAGTGTGACCTTTCTCTCTGAGCCGCCTTGCAGTCCTTGGGGCTCTGAGGGTCGTGGTCCGAGGGAAGATGGGGAGGCAGGGTGGGGCGGGTGTCCCAGGTGCCCAGCACTTACAGCACACAGAGGGCTTGGTCAAGGAAGACAGTCCCCCAAGTGTCCTGGTTAATTTCAGCTGTGACCTTGCATGTCGGCAGTTCAAAGACCGATTTTTTGCATGAGAAGCTGAGGGTTAGGGATCTAAAGGGGCTTGCTCAGAGTCCCTGCGTGGCTGGTCCTGGGGGATGTGTGTGTGTGAATGTGTGTGCGTCCACACGCGTGTGCTGGGAGCTAAGCTCTTTATGCATTCATTCATTCACTCACTCAGCATTCAGCAGATATTTACTGAGCACCTGCTGTTTATGATACTCTGTTATAGGTAAACGTTATTTATCATAATTTTAAACTGTAAATTGTTACAGCTTAAAAAATTTGCCTTTTTTATGAGGTCTTTTTATGGGTCTTCAGGCCTTCAGGTCTTGGTCCGCGTGTCACCCTCTCAATGTGACTGACCCTTTCACTGCAAAAACCCTGTCTGTTTCCTTCGTTAAAACGATACTTTCACAGGGGCAGAACTTGTTCACTTCCTGTTGGATCCTCTGGGCCTCTAACCATGCCCAGCACGTAGTAGGTGCTCAGCAAACGCTTGCTGAATGGGAGTTGCTGTGCTTGAATGTTGAAGCCTGTGAGTGCTTTCCTTCCTCAAAAATTAAATTTAAAGACGCACCGGTTAAAAAAAGAAAGAAAGAATTGATGCAGTTCAAAAGGACCTAGTTAAAAAGAAAGTCTTGCCTGTCTCTCCCCAGAGGTCTCTCGAGTTACCCGCTTAGATTGTCATCCAGAGTCTCTGCTTCTGCCAACGTAGATCGCAGTGGCCTTTTTGTGTTATTTCACACAAGCAGGCCCATATTGGAACCTGTCTGGCCCCTTGATGTTCCCCACTTAACAATATGTTTTAAAGATCATTATGGGGTACTATATCCATACACATAGACCTGTAGATTCTTTTGCAGGCTGCATGGTATTCCGGCATGTGGAACTTACTTAGCTATGGACTAATGAGCCAGTCCCTGTGGATGGACATTTGGCTTGTTTCTAGTCTTTTGTTGTTGCAGATAAGGCTATGGTGTATGAACTTGGCCGACCACTGAGTTCTCAGCCTCAGCACTCTTGGTATTCCTTGTTGTGGGGCAGCCTGTACATTGTGGAAGCTTCTCAGCATCCTTGGCATCTGCAGCCACCCCACCTGTTTGTGACAGTCAAAAATGTCCCCAGACATTGCCAAGTATTCCCCAGGGTGCCACGCAGTGGATCAAAAGGTTAAATTCTCAAATGTAGAATTGCTGGATAACACTGATGTGAAGTTTGCACTTCAAGATTGATATGGGGAGACAGTCTCGTGTGCTGTCTGTGACAGCTTAAACAGCATGTTTCAGACATCCTACCTTATTGCATGTTCTTCTATCCTATCATGTAACAGGTGCATGGACTTATACTCCTTGCTTTAAGCGTCGGTCCGTGGTTGGGCGCACCAGTGGTGTCTGGGTGTGATGAATGTTTGCTTGCTAAGCAGGAAGCTCCTCACTGGACTATGTGACCCAGGGGATGTTCATTATTTTGCACAAGGTTCTTCTTCTATAAATTGGGGATAATGCAGTTTCTACCTCATGAACTTACACTGAGGATTAGGCGCTGTAAAGGCACATAAAGTTCTTAGCACAGGATTAGTCACTAATCCTGATTAGTGCACGTTAGTAATATTTTTGCTACTGTGATTACATTTATTAGTGGTGAACTGGCTCCAGTGTTTGAGTGCCTGTTTTAATACAGCCTCACCTACACTGCGGGTTATATGTTTTCTAATGGTTGGCTACGCTTGCCCTCATGCCTTGATTAATGTCTCTGGCCTCACTTTCCCTCTCAGATCCTGTTCTCGAACATCGAGGACATCCTGGAGGTTCACAAGGATTTCCTGGCCGCCTTAGAGTATTGCTTACACCCGGAGCCTCAGTCTCAGCATGAACTTGGGAACGTTTTCTTAAAATTCGTGAGTACAGCGCCCCAGCCCTGGGGGACCCTGTAGCTTTTGAGGAGGGTGTCTCCCTGGGTCCCTGTGCCACCTGTCCCTGGCTGGTTTCCTCCGCAGGCCTGTCTGGGAAGTGGGGCAGCTGTGGAGGGCAGGGGACCTCTGTGCATCCCAGGAGCAGTGGGGGTGGGCCAGGCCCGGCGGACCGCGGGTGCCTGTAGTGAGTCTCCTTTCCTTCACATTCACATCAAACATGGCCCTTGCTGAATGCCCACGACCCGGGGTCCCTTGACCTTCTGGCCTGGGAGAGGCCCTCTGCCACAGAAGGACCAACAGAGGCTGAGAAGAGGACATCAGACAGACCTGGTTTGCATCCAGGCTCAGGCACTCACTGGCCAGCGAGGGCACCTGGTCCTTGGGTGCCTTCTTGGGCTGGTGGTCAGAGAGGCTGACGCTTGTCATAATAACTTCTCCCTTCCTGGAGGATTCCTGGGTTACCTGAAATTGAGGGTGGTGGGCTGGAGGGAGGAGGCAACAGCCTTCCCCTCCCTCTCCTCTGTGCTGTTTGGGACCCTCTAGCAGGGAGAGACGTCCACATTGGCCTCTTTGCCTCTCTGAGCCTCAGCTACCTCCTCTGATTAAGAAGTAGGGATAGTCATGCCCAACCTGAGGGTTGGCAGGAAGACTCCCAGGAGAAAAGCAATCGGTGCAGCCTGGAGCAGTGCTGTTCAGCCCGGGCGATCTGCCCCTAGGGGACGCTGGCAGAGTCCCGAGACATTTCTGGCTGTCGGGACTCTGGGGGAGGGGTGCTGCTGCCTTCTGGCGGGTAGAGGCCAGGGGCACCACCATGTATCCTACAGCACACAGGACACCCCACAACAGAGATTCTCAGGCCTCCGATGTCCACAGGGTCAGGGGGAGAGACCTTGGTGCCTGGTGAGCGCTCGCTCTGTGTTAGCTCTGTTCATCGTCGTCATCACCGTCTTCACCAACTCACTTCTCCAAGGGATTGCATCTGAGTGGTCAGCGTCTAGGATGACAGAGCTGTTGTGGCTCTGCCCTTGGAGGGTGACAGCCTGATGGAGGTGACAGTCTCTTGGGCAGACAGTCAGAAGGAGGGTGTTTCTAGCCCCCGGCCAGGCCACCGAGCTGCTCACCTGTGGTACTCTCAGCGAGCTGTTTTAACTTGTCTGGGCCTCAGTGTCCTCAACTGCAAAGTGGGTATAAACCCATGCATGATGTTGTGGTGAGTATTAAGTGAGATAATACAGGGCGCATGCTCGGAACAGCTGCTGGCATGCAGCAGGTGCTCAGTAAATGTCGGGTGCTGTCTTCCTGTTCATGGAGTGGACGCTCCTCCATGCTTGAAACAGGACAAGTGAGAGAGTGTGGTGGGGCATGGGGGGCTGGGTGCTGGTGGAGGGCGCTAAGGCAGAGAGATGGGGCCCACTTGTGTTTAAGAGACACTGGCTGCTGCAAGGGAGGGTAGACAAGAAGGGGGAGGCAGGGAGATCCGCTGAGAGGTCACCCCGCCAAGTCCCAGACGAGTGTACCTTGGGCCAGTGCAGTGGCCATGGAGGTGGCGAGAAGGGGCAAGGGACAGTGAAGAGTGAGAGGGACGCCTCCCCTCTGGGGTCAGAGGAAGGAGCGAGTGCTTGTGGCTCGGGGTCAGCAGCCAAGGTTGTTCTACTGCCAACCAGCCAAGTGTACCCGGGCAAGGCTCTTCATCTCTGGAGGCCTCAGTCTCTAGCTCTGTACAGTGTGAGTGACGAGAGCACCTCTGCACAGGATTGCTGTGAGGGTGAAACAAGCTGGTCCCACACTGAGCATCATTCCAGCTGGGACACCAGGAAAGTCTTTCTGGAGGAGGTGGCCTGGGGCTGGTCGTGAAGTGATGACCTGAGCTTAAGTGGGACAGTCATATTTAGCAAGAGTGGGGCACAGGGTCTTCAAGGTGCTTCATGCAACTTGCCAAAACCCCGCTCCCACACCCTGGCTTCCCTACCTGCGCCCCAGAGGTTTAACCGTGTAAGAGTCAGCCAGGCTTAGTGGCTTGGGCTGTCATCCCAGCACTTTGGGGGGTCGAGGCGAGTGGATTGCCTGAGCCCGCGGGTTTGAGACCCACCCGGGCAACTTGGCGAGACCTCCTCTCTACAATAAATCAAAAACTAGCCGGGCATGGTAGCGCATGCCTGTAGTTCTGGTTACTTGGAAGGCTGAGGTGGAAGGATCGCTGGAGCCCAGCAGGTCGAGACTGTGGTGGCCGGGAGCGGCCACTGCACTCCAGTCTGGGCGACAGAGTGAGACTCCAACTCAAAAAAAAAGAGTCAGCCAGGGCTCTGGGCCCAGGGCCCCACTGGACTTTTCCCTCCTCTCTTTCCAAGGGGTTCCTCACATGCTCAGAGAAGTGGGGGGACTGGGGAGGGGGAGGAGGTGGGTACACACAAGGCTGCCTCCCTTTGCGACCTCTCCTACACTGCCTGGCCCCTCCTTGTGTAACCCCCTTGGATCTGGCCCCTGATGGAGGCTGTTGCCCCACCACGCTCATGCCACACCAAGGCGAATGTTTAGGCCTTTGTGGGCAGTTGTTTCCAGCCTCCCCAGGACCCAGCTCGCATCCTGCCTGGGCCGGGGATCAAGCATGTTAGAGCCTGCCTGCCTGACTTAGTATCCTGGCTCTGCTGTGATCCTGGGAGAATGACCTCACCTCTCTGTGCCTCAGTTTCCTCATCTGTAAGCTGGGGATGGCAAAAGCTACCTTCTAGGGTAGTTGAGGGAATTAATGACATCCGTAGTGTCTGGCGCATAATAAGTGCTCATGAGCAGGTGCTCAGGGTGTGGTGTGCATACCAGGCCATGCGAGCCAGCACTCTAGTGCCTCCTGGGCTTCTCTGGAGAGTGACTCCTTGCAGGGTTCCCAGGAATGGGCTTGCTGGGCCTCATTCCAGGCCGTGCTGTTTTTTCGAGAGCCTCCCTGAGCTTCCGCCGGGCTCCTGCCCATTCAACCTCACAGAGGATGGATGCCCCAGGCTTTGACCAGCATAGGGCGTTCTGAGGACTGAAGGGACGTGCACTGGAGATATAGCTCAGGCCCTTCCCTGCTTCTCCTGGAGCCCTCTAGAGGTTCCCACCCTGCTGGAAGAAAGTCCCCACACCCCACCAGGCTGGGTCTGCTTCCTGGACCTCACTCCCCACTCTGGCCATACCGGTCTCCTTGCTGTTCCAGAACGTGCTGAGCCCACACCCCCCACCCCAGGTCTCCAGGTGGGCAGACGTCCCCATGGCTCCCTCCCTCCTTGCGGCTTTCTCCGTGACCCTGCCCCACCCCCTACTTTATTATCCTCAGCGGCCCTTGTCACCATCGGCGTATGGGGATTGGTCCCTTTCTGTTGATCATCTGTCTCTCCCTAGAACATAGTCAACTTGTAGGACTATTTGTTTAATCCCTTAAAAATATTTAAAACCCTTAAATATATTTAAAAAGGGAAATATGGGCCAGGCGCAGTGGCTCACACCTGTAGTTCCAGCACTTTGGGGGTCCACGGTAGGAGGATTGCTTGAGCCCAGAAGCTTGAGACTAGTCTGGGCAACATTACTAGACCTTGTCTCTTAAAAAAAAACTTAGCTCAGTGTGGTGGTGCATGCCTGTGGTTCCAGCTACTTGAGAGGCTGAGGTAGAAGGATTACCTGAGCCCAGGAGGTTGAGGCTGCAGTGAACCGTGATCATGCCATTGCATTCCATTCTAGGTGACAGTGTGAGACCCCAACTAAAAAAAACAAAAGAGGGAAATTTGTATTCTTGGAAAAGGAAAATGAATATCTCTTGCTATAAATAGAAGGGAATCGTAAAACTAAGAACAGTTGGAACCAGACTGCATCACTGCATCTGTCTAGATCCTCTTGCGCACCTGAGGCTCTGAGCCGGTGCCTGCCCTGGGTTTGGTCAGGAGGATGAAGGGGGTCAGGCTGGTGGTGTCGTCTCACACCTGACTGAGACCCTCCGAGAGTAGCCGGAACGATTGAGGCAGGAGCCAGCTTTCTCAGTGTGTGAGTCATTGTTTTCCAATTTAAAATCATCTTAATTTAAAAATTAAAATCCTCCCACCCCCTCCCTCCTTGTTACGGAGACGGCACTGAGTCATCCTGTCTCGGGGCTGCCCCCCCGCGCGCTGGGCTTCCAGAAGCTGGAGCTGTGCATGCAGGTGGCCTCTTGAGGCAGCTGAGGGCGAGGCTGCATGGGCGCCACCCTGGCCTTGATGGTCCCGTGAGGAAGAGACTGTGGGGCTAGGACAGCCCCTCAGGCTGTACACCGCATGGCGAGTGGGCAAGGCCTTTGCACCCACACTGCCCAGTCCCGGGGCTGGGCTGTCCTCAGGAGTGGGGGCACGGCCTCCGGGGAGTGTCTCAGCCGAGGGCCGCCCGCCACCACTCCCGGCGTCTGGGGAAGGGGTGCCTCTGCCCTCCCTGTCGGGAGTTTGAACAGTGCGCCACGTATCCACCACTGCCCCAGAGGAAAGTGGCCCCGGGCCCATCTGCTCCCTGCCTGGAGATGTTTCCCCAGCCGAAGCTGCATCTGGGCCAGTGAGGAGGTGATTGGGAACTGAGCTCTGCCGACTGGCTCTCCAGAAGGGGAGGGAGCCCTGGCTCACAGTCCAGCCCACTGGTGCTTCCTCAGTCAACGGGTAGGGGAGAGTTGTTCAACCCTTTGCCCCAAAACCCAACCACGAACTCCCATGTTTATCACAAACTAGCACTGAGTGGACATTGTCTTTGAGCTGGGTGCTGTTCAGTGTGTCCTTCGTATAGTAATTCATTAAAACTTCACAACAGTCTTTAAAGGCGAGTACTATTCTTGTACCCATTTTACAGATGAGAAAACTGAGGCCTAGAAAGATGAAGTGGCAGGCCCGCTTGCACAGCCAGTGAGTGTCTGGGCTAGGATTTGAGCTGGCACATGTGGCTCGGGAGTGTGTGCTTCTCATCATCTTACGTGATAATGTTTCTTGAAATACGTATGGCAT